AAAAAGACCACAAAAATTCGCGAACAGGATTTTTGCAAGCCACGGTCACATTGGATCCCCTCACTTCCGTTCTCTTTCTCACAAGGCGTCCCCGAGTTCGGATTAATTTTTGTCGATCCTAAATCCGCAAGCATCGTGTCGATCCGACAGTATTTGTTAAAGCGAATCATACCCATATTAAGTAAATTTAGTGCTCTAACGTATATTGGTAAGCTTGTGTGAATAATCGATCGCCGGAGTGCTAATTTTGCCTTTTCAAAACAGCGTCAGCCGTATCGGCAGAGTCGTCCAAGCGACCGGCATTGTTTTTGCCAGCAATTGCCCACCACGTGAGGTGGCAGTCATTTGTGGCATTCATCGTTGGCATTGTCTGTGGCTTCTCAGCGGGATCAACGCCACGTGTCATCGGAGCATTCGCACGCACAGCGTGGGGCTGCGCTTCCCATTTCGGCGGCCATACACGTGCCGATTGCGGTGATCCTCGATTTGGATTTTCTTTACCGCCTCGCTAACGTGTCACCGTTCCCTCACACGGCGCGCATATTGGATCGCCGTTCCCTCACACGGTGCACATATTGGATCACCGTGCTTTTCTTCGGCGCACCTATTGGATCGCCGTGTGTCTTTTTCGTGGCCACATCGTTCTTTGCCACATCGCCGTGCATCTTTGCCACATCGCGTGCGCTCTGCCGCATCCACACCTTGGCGGGCTGGTCTCGTTCCGCTCACGCCTCACGCAAGGGATTGCGGCCATCCCTGTCGCACATAGTGCGTGTCATCTTCATCAGCGCGAACGACGGAAGTAGCATTACATATCCGTATTGAGAGCTGGTGGCTGATCCGGCCCACACTCTGCTCCAGGAGCGGATAAACATGAATGATAGTGTCTAAAATATAATTAATTTTGCATATAGGAGCTTTTGATTTAAGAATTCGTACTTATAAACCTTTTCGGTCGTAATTTAGCAATTTTTTTTGGGAGATTTGGCAATTATAATATCGTTTTGTCCCTCAAATAACTTAAAACACATACAGCTACACATCACCAGTCATCAGGCCTGCTGACGTCGATGGAGAAAGCGTGAGTACGGCCTAGCCGCAAAACAACAAAATAAAACTGAACCCATACTTATAATTTCGCCAAGACTCCTGAAATAGTTTGCACATCTTAATTAATTAATTGATTCAAAAGAATATTAATAAGTTAATCTATTTAATGTAAAGTAAAAAAAGGAAAAAGCGTTCTTTCTTATCTTAAATTTTATTTCCTTTCATTTGATCTAAAAAAACAAACTGACTCAATAAGAGGTCTCGTAACGTAAATAACGTAAACTTAGGCTTAAGGATTAGATTTAGGAAAATGTCTTTCAATATTATCTCAGCCTGCAATTATATGACTTTGAAAATGAACTAATTTGATATCTTGTTGGGCACCTAAGGGGATGTAGAGCATTGGTTGTATAAGGGTGGAGCCTGAATGGACTTCACAGGTTGGGAGGGTTTAGATTGAGGCCAATAACATCGGAGCCTCATCTTCAATAGGTACACTTCCTTCGTCTGATTCATATTATTTACCATATCCCCAGCTAGAGTATCTCTGTCTACAATATTAGTTATGTAGCACCATTGTTCATGTCAACACAAAACCCACGCCCATTTTCCCTGAGCCTGCCGAGCAGAAAAAGTAGACAGAGCGTGTTGAGGTGGACAACGCTCGGTGAGTGTGTTTGTTACACGATGAAGATGATGCATGACCGGCCAAACTAAACAACCGGCTGGCCATAGAAATAACAGCCAGCTCAAGTGACACCAGACCGTATACGGCCTTCCGTTCCGGCTCTGTCATAGCCTCCTGCCCCTCATCCTCTCCTTCACCTGACTCTGGCCATATGTGTTTATCCTTTTTGTCAGCTGATTTGCATTTAATTGCAACGATTTTTTGAGGAGCCCAAACCAGACCCACCCGTAACACCCAGGACACAACCAATACACACACACCCGCCTCCAAAAGTAGCTTTTTGTGTGTGTGTGCGTGTGTGTGTGCAGAGTTGTGTTTTTGTTGTGGCCCCGTGTTTTGTTTCGTTTCGTTTCGTGTTCGTCGCTTAAGCTGCTTTAAATTTATTGGTTTGCACAGTTTAAGCGATTTTCGTTTTGTATTTTCCATTTTGGCAGTCCGCCGCCGTTCCTTCTTCCCTCTTTGGTTACCATTACCAATGGATACAACTTGCCAATTATGCTCGTTCTCTGGCCAATGGACTGGACACTGGACACTGGACACTGGACACTGGACAGTGGACAGTGGATACTGCTCCTCCCTCCCCCTTCCCTTTTAACTGGCAACTGCTCATATTCCGTGCGGCATATGCCAATGTCGATTGTTGGCTGTTGTTGCGTTTTTGTATGGCCATCCTTCCTCCTCACTCCCTGCCCTCATACAAAACAAAAAGCCCGGAAAAAACCGCGCTGAATGCTTTTGGTGGGTTGAAGGGGAGACAGGAGATAGGAGACAGGAGACGCTCTAAGTCCCTCCCTTACCGTTCCCTCCAGCAAGGAAACCAACGTCAGCATTGTCGCCAACGCTAAATGTGGCATTAAAATTTTGGACCAACACAACTAGAAGAGCCAGACGACGGTGGAAAATATGAGGGGAAATATATGGGAAACGCCGCCCCCGCACACACACACACACAACTGCTAACTGGACACTAAAAATATGGCACTCCAGCTTCGGTGGGCGCATTGTTGTAGTTAATATACTCCACCCACCGGCGGGGGCTAAGGAGCATAAAGGGTAGCAGGGGGTGCATTGTGTTCCAGGATCCGTTCAGAATCGAATATTTAAAAATATATAACAGGAGGGAGAGCTAACCGAACTTTGAATCAATATAATAATAAATAAACGTTTGATTTTAATAAAATAAAAATTACAATTCTGACATTCGTGAAAGTGAGTTAAGTGAGCAAGAATTAAACTCAGATTCCCAAGGTCTTTAATCTTATTAATTACCTTAGCCTATATTATTTAGCACTCGAATAATCCTACATCCTACATCCCTTCTACGATATACTGAGCTTTAGGGTACGAACAGGATGACCCCTTTTGCTGAATTTGTCGCCGAGTTGTCCTGGCTGTTCGTTGATAGTTTGCCGCGGCTGCTTCCGCACTTAGCAGTACTTTGGACTAATTTTTAATGCCGCTCATATTTCGCGCTCAGCATCAGCAAATGGCAGCAACAGCCGACGCCGCACTACCAAGGACGAAGGACTCTGCATGTGTGTGCGTTTTCGTTGCGATACAGGATACAGGTGCTGGCAAAAGTAATTGGCCAAGGGAGTGCCATCAAGCAGGACAGCACGATGGCTCCTCTATCAGCGGCATTCATCAGCCGGCGATAGTTCCTACACCCACTATATCGGTACACAGAGGAAAATACTAGCTTAATATGGGGTATATTCTATATATATTTCCTGAAATACCATGAAAATTCAATCAGTTCTTTAACATATTCGGTTTCAATAATTACGGAAACTATCTTGAAATAAAAATATCTAAAATACGCAATACATCGATATTTTTCGGGTGATACATATTTTATCGTTCTGATACTTTTCTAAATAATCGTATAAAATCGATGCGATATTTATGATATATTTTTACAATCCTAATGTGTTGACCTACTTACCTTTAAATTTATTAATGTAAACAGACAAACTTTGTTCATTATAAACTATAATCAAAAATAATTAATACTTTTACATGGCAGAATACTACCCAATTTGAAGGTGACTTTCTATTTTTGTGTGTGGGTCCATCCACTTTCGGCTGGCAGTGTCCTCCGAGGCTTGGACTGTGGTAAAAGCTGGGCGAAAACATTTCTGCAGATACTGCGCTGGCGACTTATGCATATATACATTTGTCTTCGCAGGGGCGTCCCCTACCCAAAATAAAAAGGGGGGCTGCAAAACAACAGCGTGTGTGCTCCCGCTTTTTGCTGTTGTTGTTTTCGTTTTCGTTTTTTTTGCTTATTTTTTAATATTATTTTTTCTTTTTTTTTTTTGCATTTTGCTGTGGCTGCGGTTGACTCGCGATATTTATTATTGTTGCTGAAATTGCTGTGTATCCTCGCGCCGGGAGTCCTTTCCCTTTGCGCCACTGCTGCTGCTGGTGACGCATTTAAGGCTTTTGCGGCATATAAATAAAAAACTAGCAAAGCGGAACAAGAAACATAAAACGGAGAAGGAGCCGAGGCGATGTTCCAAAAAAAAAAAAAAAAAGAGAGACAAAGGATCGGGAGGGGCAGGAAGGATGGACCTTAAGCTTCGGCCAGCGTGGCGAAGAAGAGCATCTGGGATGCGCCAATGCTTGATTTATTGGCAGAGTCCCGCCAGGATGGCCTCCTTCGGCCACGCCTACTTACTGCGAACAGCGAGTCGTGGCAACTCCTCCTTCTCCGCCCCGAAATAAATAATCCTTTGGCTTGGCTTTTGAATTTATTATGTTTGTTTTTGTTTTGCTCATTCTTTTTATTTGGCTTCTTCATCGATAGTAGGTTTGATTATTATTATTATTATTATTTTTATAATATTTTCAATTTTTCATGGGCTTTAGTTCGGCTTTTTTGGTTGTTCTTGTTTCAGTTTCAGTTTTAGTTTCGCTGTCGCTTTCACTCTCGCTCTCGTTTTTGCTTTCATTTCGTTTAGTTCTCTTTGTAGCTTGGTATCGTTATCGTAATCGTTATCGTTATGCACCTGTATATCTCATATTATATATATATAGTGAAATAATGAAATGCGCTTATGATCTCTGGATCTTCCTTTACTATTTTAGACAAAAAATAATGATGATGCCTCACACAATTATGCTATTTTACAATTAATCGAAATCGGTATCGCAGTATTAACAATCGATATTGCTCTATAATTATTATTACCTTGGGATTAAAGAGGGGAATGGAATTCTTATAGCAGCCATCATACTTATAATGGGTTACAAAAAACAAAAAAAAAATCACCGATACCTATATGTAAATATGTATATAGTTTGTTTGCATATTCGAAATTGAAGAGGTGCCACAGAAACCGCAAGAGTAAATTCCTTGTTCCTTAATCGTTGCATACTTTCAGGCATCTACCAAAAAAGATTTCATATCTCCAGCGATTTCGGTGGCATCCCAGATACTAGTTTATGCCGAATTGGCAGCATGTGCATTGCGTGTTTGCTCTCGCCTGGCTTTCGCTCGTTAACACATCTAATTGAACTAACAATTTGCCAGGACCTCAGTGGGGATACTGAGTTACAAGGATATGAACACGATTACACCCTCATGCACCTGGAGAACGGTTTATTGTGGAAGTTATTCCGGTTTCTGTGCTAATTTCATCAAATACCGTTCTTAAAGATATACAGGGGTGCCACAGAAATCGCAAAATATTTGAAAACAATTAAGAATGGTGCCTAAAATCATGCAGTGAAATACTTAAGAATGAGAATCCATACAAGTTAGTTGGTGTAACATTTTGCAGCATACTTTTGAACCTCATTTCAAGTGATTTCAAATCCCCCACGATTTCTGTGGCAACCCTGACAGTTTGTAGTTATGTGTGTCTCGTTTTCTTGGTTTTTCCTTTCGTTTATAATTTAGCTAAGCAAGTTAGTAATTGATAAGAGTTCACCACCTGTAACCCCTGATATGTACAGTGCGGAAATCGTCGAGGATCGGGATCGGGAGACCCCGTTGGATCTGTGAGTTCATCGCAAACGTTTTATCACATATTTATCCATATAATAATAGTGTGTGTCGTCGTATAGTTCTCACTTGGTTTTATAAAATAAGTACAAATGCCTTTCCGTTTAGATTAACTATCGTAGATACAAAGATACAAGATACTGTACTGTGGCATTAATTGACTAGACTGCTATGCATATATCCATGTATACACTATATCCATCTGGCTAGGTAATGCAGATGTTGTCGCCGCGCAGCGCTCCTTGCTTGTATATATATATTTACCGATATATATATATATATAGATGAATGTATAAATTGCATCTTTATTAATTGGCCAATAAATTTTCCCAGTTATTTATGAACTATCAACTATGATAAAAAAAAAATTGTGTGTTCCATACACATGTACACATGTATATAGCTAGGTTTATATAGATTCCACAGTCACATATACAAATACAATACAAATACATATGCTTAAATGCGCTTAAATCGGATTTTGTCTATGCCGGCATCCATATGTGCTCACTTTATGATTTACACACATTTGACTCGAAATTCGATATAATAATTTAGTACTCAATCCGCAGTCCGCATTTTGCATTTTCGCCATACGAAAGTCGCGTTTCGCAATTCGCAATTCGCAATTCGCATTTCGTGTTTCACATTCCGCATTAAACGCAAACAGAACAGAAAATGGCAACAGAAACGTAAACAACTAACAAACAAACGTAACGGAACGCCCTTAGGGCCCTCAGGATATACATATGCAGGATGCAGTATCCAGTGTATCTTGGTTGCAGGATTAGCCCAGGGTTCAGCATTTTTCGGGATGCCAGAAAGGGCACTAGGTTGGGTGGCGAATGGCGGATGGCGGATGGCATCAGACTCTCAGATTTCAGATTTCGCATGCGGATAGCAAAAGTGCAGCGTTTTACATTTGACAATTTGTAGCTTTTTACTATATGCCACATATAGTACATACATGAACAACACGTTGTATATATGTGTGTATATATATTTATATAGCAGAATACCCTGGCAGTCGAGAATCGAAGGGAATTCAACGGAAATGGAAGTATAGATGGAGAGGACTCAATTCAATTAGCTTCTTCTCTCGCGTTGATCTTGACAGGCAGACTGGAGTTATCTGGAAAGAAAGGTGAATAAGATATTAGCTACGATCGGGATAGCAAGGATATTATATGGCAAAAAACAAAATCATAATTAAATTATGGTATATATTCTTTAAAAATTTCACTCAATTTCCTTGGCCTTTCTGAACATTGCTGATTTACTCCTCATTTTGTGGTTCCTTTTGAGACTATGGAATTGGAACAGAACCGGAAGTAGCTATCAATAATTTAAGCCAAAAGCATTATTATTTAACTAGCAAGAGAGGAAAATTCTAAATTCTAATATTATAAAAATGCTTGAGTATATTTTCCATTTCCAATCGCTTCCTAAAATAAAACTTCAGCATTTGCGTTAACCTCACGTGAAACCGAAAGTTAAAAGGTCCTTTGAAAAGATTAGGGAAAAGTTCACTAACAGAGTTACCCCCAATTCTCCCCTTCTTCCGCTTAAAGTTAAGGCGGAAGTTGGCCCTGACTTTCGGCCAGAGATGCCTTAAAACAGATTCGAAACGCAACTTGTCAAGTAATAAACAAACTGCTCAGTCGAAAAACTTGAGAAGCGAACCCGTTTAGCTCGTTGAATTGCCAGTTCACAGGGTCCCCAACTAGTTGAGCTCTCTTGAAGGACATTCGCAATTTTTATACGTTCCCTCCCCCGTCCTTGTGTTTGTGTGTGTTTACAACAATAAAACGCTTCGTTGTCATAGCTCAAGCAGATTGATGTTCAACACAGCATTTTCCGACTCGCAGCCAGGTCGGGAGAAGGACTAGGACGAGGACGAGGACGAGAACGAGGTTGCTGATGACGATGTCATCATCGCAACAAGCAACATTCGAGTGCACTTACATGCCTATCTATCGTATATATCGTATATCTATATGTGCAGATGTATCTGTGTGCGGCCTCTGTCTCCCCTGACATCTGTATGTAGTGCTCTGTCCTGGATCTGTCCTGTCCTGCTCCCCGGTCCTGTGTTCCTGGTCGTCGAGCAAGTGCAGTGCAAAGTTGGCGGCGCCTTGATTTATGTCCCAGTTGAATGTCTGTCTGGCTGTCTGGTTGTCGGTCGGTCGGTCGGTCGTCCCTGGACCGAATCGCTCCCTGGTCCCTGCTCCCAGCTCCTTGCTCCTTGCTTCTTGGCCTCTTCCTTGGATTTTCGGCCATGGCAATCTCTCTGTGGAGTTTACTTGAATTGTGTACACACTCGCGGCTTGTTTGTGCTTTTGATTTGATTTATATTGCCGACTCAAGAGCATGAAGAGCATGTTGTTGATGCGAATGCGAATGGGCCAGGACACTCGGCTCGCTGTGGGGTTGGTTCCAGCTCCTGCTCCTGCTGCGACGATGATGATCTCTGTCTCCTGTCGACTTGTGAGTGCGCCGTGCGATGATCGGGCCGACTGACAGCCAAAGCACTTAGCCGGAGCTCCTGGCCGTTGCCAGAGCCTGGCTCATGTGATTTCCATGTGTCACATCAGTTTCCGGTGACAGCTCGCTGGCATCTCGGATCTCGTATCTCACATCACGCATCACCCACTCCTCCGCCTCCTGCCCTTAGCCTCCGGTTTTTTGGCCCACTAAAAAGTTTGGCAAACTGAGACAAAGTCGAGCCTCGGGCATAGGCGATTTTTCAATTAGTTGGCAGTCAGCCTTCCAGCACTCCGCATCGCTCCGCACCCACTGACATCTACAAATTTTGCCGGGCTTTAGGCCATGAGCTCAACAGGGAGCTGGGTAGCTCTGTGTAGCTGGGAACAGCAACTGAAATCCTACATAATTAAAATACTTAAAGGCTTTAAAGGCAGCAGCAAAGTTTTTAACTTTTAAATTGTTGAGCCTGGCCCATGTTACCTTCTACTCTGCACCTTCCACTCGGAGCAGGTTCTCATTGTGGCACACAGAAAGGGCGCACATGTGTAGAAAAGCTTTATGGGGGTTGGGCCAGGGTTTGGGTATGGATGGAGCTCCTGTGCCAGTGCCTGTGCCTGTGTCTGCTCAACTCACTAAGCTTACTTAAGCATTTTTGCCTCGGCCTTCGCCTCGACTTCGATGTCAGTCGCAATCTCAGTCTCAGTCTCAGTCGGCGGCCAAAATCGCGTCGATAAAGTTGTTCCTTTGCTCCTTGACTGGATGGATCTACCTTCTGTGCTCCCCCCACCCCCCAGAGTCCAAGTTTGAACTCCTGCTTCAATTTTGCGTGAATTGTGTGTTGTCGAGACTGACAGCCCTGGAAGGGGGGGCAGAGTTAACGGAGAAAGGTGGAGGGAGAATGGGTATAAAGTCGAGCAAGTCGCTCTTGTCTTGGCTGGCCAGAAATTAGCCGAATTGATTCATGCTCAATCTTGAGTTCTCTCCCTCCATATGCTCTGTGATTCCGTTTAGTGTCGCGTCAATGGCCTGACCTTAACTCCCATCCCTTGCCATCCTCAACCTCAAAATATTCCCTTGGCCCGCATTGCTCATACGCCCCGTGTGTGTGCGTGTGTGCCATTGGACTCATTACGAACGACGTTAATTGACAGGACACCCACATAGATTTTCATAATTTTTGTTATTAGATAAACACACACACACACACACACGCAGAAGGCTGCTGCATATTTTATTAGATTTTCGCTTAACCCGGGGTCGCCTCTGCTACCCTCCCTCCCTCTCCCCCTCGTGTGCTGTAAGGACGAACACGAACAGGAGCCCCAACTACGATACGGAGTTTATTTCGCCTCGCTTTGACCTCGGCTTAACGATTTTGCTTTGTCATTTGGTCGTTTAATTATGTGCATGGAAATTTATGTGCGACTCCTTGACTTTAAATGAAGTGTAAGGACCATTGGCAATCCTTTTTCGCCGCCAGCTGTTGGGCCAGCCAGCAGCAGCACCGACCCCGACCTTGGACCTGCACGTTGGGATCTGGACCTGGCTCTCTCCCCCCTTCAGTTATTTATGGTCCAGTCGAGTCTGATAATACTGAGAAGGAGTAGAGAGTGGAGAGTGGAGAGCAAAAAGAGGTAGCTGGAGGAGTCAGAGCCGGAATGGAGGCTGATTAAATTTTGTATTAGCTCAATAAATTTGCAACCAGGCAAAGAAGTATAAAAATGCCCTGTGACACGCAAATGGACGTCGCTTAACCCGCCACTGGCCGTTGTCATATTTCAGGACAACCTACTCACCCACAGTCCTCCTCATTCTCATCCTCCTCCTCCGCATCCAGCCAGACACTCGCAAATACAGAGGGAGACGAGGCACACAGGCAGCGGAGCAGAGCAGTCTTGTATCCATTGTGGTCGGACTCTAATTTATGTCGCTGGTAATTTGCCAGAGATTTCTGCGTTGTGGCGCTAGATGGAGCAGGGACGATGTAAGAGGGAGGTTGGAGGTCATAAGAAGGGTTGCGTTGGTCTAATGGTTGATGGGCTACGGCTGGAACCGGGGGACCTTTGCATATGATGAGTAAGCAATGATCCAGATGGAGTCGGCGATTAGCCACTGACTGCTTGGAGGCGCCCAGCGATACCTTAATGGGGCGGGCTAGATAAGGATGACGGAGTAATGACTTTTCGAAAGGATTATTCCGGAAGGGTTCTCGGGCTAAATGTCCGCATGAATGAAGTGTGGTTAATGGGGGAGACTCAAGGGGAGATAAGTAACATAACATATGCTATGCCTTGATAAGGCTCGTTCAGAGATCCTTCAAAGTCAAGTAAGTAGTACTTATGTGCAACCAGAACTCAACCTTAATTGATTTCAAAGGAGCCCCAAGGCACAGGAAATATATATATCCGAAACAGAAGCATTGGAAGCACATTAACCATAAGCAAAAATAGGAATCCAAGGAAACCCACACCTACACCTTTGGTCAGGCTTAATCATGTGATTTCAAACCCCCCGGGCTTCTCCGTAATCCCTTCGTTAATGACGCAAGTTAACCAAAGCGTTTTGCTACCCAAAGCAATGCGATGCGGGTGTAATCGATAGCCGGGAACACTTACTCAGGACAATCTGCTCGGGGTCTTCTCTTTGCTCCCCTTGCCTCCTCCCCCCCAGAATCGGAATCAGGAGCTGGCATCGGCGCCCTCTAATCTAGTCTTTTCAATTTGCAACTCTCTCAATTGCATTTCACTTTCCGCCCCACGTTTTTACAGCTCGTCGTCGCTGATTTTATTTATCGCCCTTCACTTTCCCATGTTTGCTTTGGTCCAGAGTCCGGAGACCGGAGTCCGGATGCTGGAACATTTATCACAGCATTGCAGCAGGACGAAGGATTGGTTGATTCGGGGGACTCCAATTTAAGCTTCTGAATGGGAAATGCTAAATCGGGAAACTGGGATATACATATGTAGGGGTCATATGTATGTATCGTATAGGGAGGGCAGAGGGGCAGGAGCAAAGGACATTTCCTCCTAATGCCAAACTCCAGTGGTCATGTTGGCCCCGCGTTAATTACGCGACTTTTGCTGCGGTCGCCTATTTGCTGATTGCATGACAGCGTCAACGCTGGCCGAGGCACGCACGACTTGCGCCCTTCTGTGGCAGCCGCATCCTGGCTCATCCGCAGCCCTGGCCACCGCCCCCATCCAATCCGAGTGCTCAGCCTGGGGCTCAGCTCAGCTCATCTGCAATGCTCGCATCGCTCGCAGAGCCGAGTTAGTCACGCCAATTTTATTGCATTCCTGTTCCTGTTTCTGTTGCTGTTTCTCCTGCTCCTAGTCCCGCTCCGTCTCCAATGTGCCAGTGGACATGGGCATTGGGCTGAACCGGGGGCGTGGTCACAGCCATTCACGACTATCAGTCGCAACAATGGCGTTGGCAGTTTTCGGATTTCAAGCGGAACAATTAAGTTAACGATCTGCGGACGAGGGCTGAGCGGCAAAGAGCAAAGTGCGCCTACGCCAGACCCCCAAGAGGACAGGAGTCAGTCCAAGGGGCGTGGCAGTGAAGTGGGAACGTGTTAAGCCGGCCACATTGCAGAGCCACTGGCCACTGGACACGAATGTTGGCGACAATTGCACGTCCCTGTTGCTGGCTGCCTCATTTTGCCTTCTCCCCGGCTTTAAGTCTTTAAGGGGACTCAGCCTCCGGGCGGAAGCGTAAATGAGAGAGGAAGCGGAAACAGAAGTGGAAGACTGCCCTTCAATTAGCCAAAATAAAAAAAAGAAAACCTGATTAGTGAATAGGCCATCTAATGTGGCCCAATGCCAATGCAAATACAAGGAGTGCCGAGAGCTCACAAAAAGAAATGTCCTAAGTCGGACAATTCTTTTTTTTTTCTGTTTAACTTTAGAACCACCTTCCCCCCAGCTCAGGACTTGGATTCAGATTCGGTTCCTGATTCAGATTTCGACTCGGACTCGGAGCTCTCCTCCTTATGCTGGCGCTGCTGCCTTGGTCGAGGAGGGACTTGAAAGTAAACAAAGTTTTAATTTCCTTCAATGATTTCTCTGGGCATTTGTTTTAGCCCCGACCAGGAGTGGCTCTGCCGCTGCTCCTGCTGCTCCACTACCAGGCGGACTCGGCCTCATAATCAAGTTAGATAAATCTAAATCCTTTGCGATAAGCGGCTAAAGAATAGCCTAGACCCGCTCGCTCTCCCAAGGACCCCGCCACACAAGACCCAGACCCGGACTCGACCCAACGTCTCCATCAAAGTTGCTCCGTCTGCTCGACTGCAAGGCTAAATGGGTTAGGCGAAGCCTGGGGGTTGCTTTTGCCGGGGACTGTGGACTCTGGACTCTGGACCGAGGACTGGGGGCTGAATAGCTCCGGCTACGAATTAGAGTGCCACAGTCGGGCGAGTGAATAGAATTTGTAATTTCCGTTTTCGTTTTGTATGCTAACCCGCCAGGCGGCAGGCACCCCATCCACTACCGACACACACTTAAAGCGCCCCACAATGAAACTGTATCCGGGAAACCGACGTTGCCTGCACTGCAGCACCAACGACGGCCTTCGAGCAGTTCAATTGGTTTCAGTTTCGGCTTCGGTGGGGGCCTGGACTGCGTGGAATACTTATGACGATGACTAAACACTCTGCTGACCATGTTTGCGATTGCATTTAAAGATGAGAGGCTATTGAAGCCGTTTTCCATTTGGAAAACGGAGGAAGACGAGGTCTGGCACCGCAAGGTATTCTGGGATTCAGGTGTCGCCCGATTTAAGGGCTAGACTGTCGCATAAATAAATAAAAATCAACTAAAACCTCTCAGAAATAAGAGTATTGAACTCACCTGGAGTTGGTCCTCCCGCCTAGTTGCCCTTCCGCCGTTTCCGACGACGCCGCCATGACACATGTCCCAGGAGCTGGGCCAGCCGGTTGGCCAGGAGCCTCACATGACGCCACTCCGCACAACTGGCCACCGCTATCAACAGCATCGAGTTAAGGCCCAGCGCCAGAGATGCCGCCGAGCTGCCCAGATTGCCCTTGGTCAACTGATCAGAGCAGCGGCCAATGGAGTCAATGTCCAGCTCGGACATCACCCGACCGTTGACCTCCAGCGGCGAGATGCAGTAGTTCTTTTGCAGGAAGTCGCTCAGGTTGTGGGCGCCCTCGGCCAGCGGCCCGTCCAGCAGCGTGTGGATGTGGCAGCCGCAGGGGAAGTGGTTGCTCACCAGCTGCAGATGCTCCACCCCGTCCACAATGATGGAGTTCGGGTCGGGCGTCTCCAGGACATGATTGCCAAAGAACTTCAAGTGCTTGATGGCCGCTGTGCTGGTGAAGTTCAGCTCCTCGATCGAGTCGATCTTGTTGTTGAGCACCTGCAGCGTCTCCACCTGGGTCAGGCCGGTGAAGGCATCCGCACAGATCACGCCCAGATCGGATTCCTGCAGCGTCAGCAGCAGGACATTGGACAGACCGCGGAAGGTGAATGGCGCCACCTCCTTGAGGTCCATGTAGGCGAGCTTCAGCAGGCCCACAGTATCCATGCCAAAGAAGGCGTCCTGCTCGATGCTGCGAATGCCCGAGGGCAGGATCAGATGGCCCACGTTGGTCAGGCTGGAGAAGGCCGAGCTGTCGATGCGGATCAGCGGGTTGTTGGTCAGCAGGATCAGCTTAATGTTCGAGGTGCCCGCGAAGGCATTGCCCTCGATCCGCTGGATCTGGTTGTGGCTCAGCAGGATGGTGGACAAATTCTGCAGGCCGGCGAATGCAAACTGGGCCACTGTCTGCAGCGGTGTGTACTGGATGGACAGCTCCTTCAGCCGCGGCAGTCCACGGAAGGCGAACTGCTTGATGCGCGTAATGTTGTTCCCGTCCAGCGACAGCTTCTTGAGCGCCCGCAAGCCGGCAAACGAGTCCGGCTTGATGATGGGAAAGTTGTTCTTGGTCAGCGCCAGGTTCTCCACCGTTGCCGGCAGCTGGCGCAGCGGGATCTGCTCAAGGCCACCGGTGTTACACAGCACCTGTGGGGGCAGATAGAGGGTCCTTATTAATGGGATGCTTCTGTATACTATATAATTTCTATAATTCAAGCACTGACTCTACGCAATTTGTAGCTTCAGCAACTCCAAGTGGTGCTCTGCATATACCCTCATCCATTGTGGTCTTTAATTCAGAAATTTTCCCCTTCCATCCCTCCTCCCATTTCATTAGGCCACCTTTTGATGTGACATCTATTCAACCGTCACCGTCACCGTCGCAGGCTGGTCCCCCATAGGTTGTCTTTGTCTGCGGACTCATCAAAGGTTTTCGCTCTTAATCAGTTTGTGTTTTCTTGCTTTATGACATCGCCCCGACTCCTGGCCCCGTCCTGCTGTCCTCCCCGTGGGCGCCATTGATACCTCCGTCATGGCAACTGACAGCCGTTGGGCAATCAGATCAGACGCCACTCGTAGGCGGGCCACGAGAGCCCAGATGAGTCGGCGAGGACTGGCGGAGGAGTGCGAGACTTCGTTTGATGCGTGGCGCGAAAATTGAATTTGTGGCTTTATTGCTGAAAATAAAATTAAATCGAATTCTTTTTTTGCGTCGCCGGAGTGGCGGTGTTCCCCGTTTCACGTTCCCCGTCCCCGAGTGGGTGGCTTTTCCCCCTTGTCTCTAGCATTGTCTTGTCGCCCATCTTTTCGTCTTCGTTCGCGTCTTGGGCTATTCCGCTTTGTGCCTTCATTTTTATAACTATTATGTGCTGATGTGTGCGTTTCCCGACCAAGAATTTCCCGCTCCCGCTTCTGCACTAGCATTGACGTGCACCTAAAGAAAAGTGGGTGTGTGAATACCAGAAATAATTGGAGATATTTAGAGTAAAGAAATATAATTAGTTTCTTTTGAAAAGCTTTGCAGTTTTGGCAAGAACGTATACTTATTATATTTTTTGTTATTATTTATTTAATAGTATTATTTATTTTATTTATTTAGGATTATATTCTCTTGCATCCTTTTGATAATTTAATACAAATACAGATAACAGATCGTTATTGACATAAGACAAGTGTGTTGTTTCTCATCAGGAAACTTCACCATCAAACCAACTTTAGGGCACTCATTTCAACAGTATTTACAAAAATATACATACATTTATTTGAAATTATTATATTTATATATTCCTTTACCTATTTTTTATCCTTCTTCTATTCTCTCGCTGTAACTGTTCTCGCAGTCTGTATTTCTGGTTGCTTCCTTATCCAAAAGGTGGCCAAGTAACTGGGTATAACTGTCCATCGCTTGTCACGTTTCTCTTGACCCCGCCCAGTGTCCTTTTTCCTGGTCACCCTCCCACCTGAAACCCCCTTCCCAAAAAAAAAAGAAACCCAGCTTGGCTGCACTTCTTGCGTAACATTTGCACAATTTTCATACGCTTCACCTTTTTAAATGAACGAATTAAAAGTTTCCTTTCTTTCGGCATTCACTCTCTCTCTCTCGTCCCACCCCGGATTCTTGGCTCTACGGGTCCACCTCACCGGAATTGTTATTGTTGCCTCAGTTCCGTTACGTTCTGTTTCTGTTTCTGCTTTTGGTCCTGCTCCTGCTCCTTGCTCCTGGCTCCTCCTTCAGCTTCTGTTTCTGATTCTGTTTCGGGTCTGTTCTGTTCCGTTTCGGTGGCGTTGTTCGATTTAAGGAAATTTCGTTTGCCGTGCATTTACAGACGCGAAGTCGGGGCGACACGGTTAAAAAGTCCTTGTTCGCTGAACTTTAACTGGCACTGTGCTTGGGGTGGGGGACAAGAAGAATGGAGGGCGCCCAGGCTGACCCCAAAAAGTGTGCTACACTTTTGTTACCTTTTCGGGGCCTGAACTAATTTCGCATCTTAAATACAGTCCAGCGAAAGGATGCAGCGGAGAAGGGTAACTGAAGAATGGAGAACTGAAGAATGGAGCACTGGAGAATGGAGCACTGGAGAATGGAGAACGGAGTGGGGAGTTCAGAGAATGTAGAACGAGAGAGCTGAGTAAATCATTGCATTGTCCATAATCTGGAATAATGAAATCACTTAAGTTCTCAATTTGCTGGAAATGACGATGCCAAGTTCCCACTGGTAATAAGGATGCGCATTAAGCGTGCTCCAAAACTCTCGCGGGACACAATTGAATTGCGGGCTACGGTCTACACACAAAAATGTGGGGGGGGGGCAAACAAAAAAAAAAAAAAAAAAAGGACGAAGAAGGGAGCTCAGACGAGAGGCGGGAAAAAAACAAAAGGAAAATAACCATTTGCCTGCATTTTCGATTTAATTTTTGTGCTCATCACTGTGCCAACGAGGCCGGAGCAGCTGTGGCCAGTGCCTGACCACCGCATCCCCAGAGATCCTCATCTGCTGCTCCCGATTCTCCCAGCTTCTGTTTCATTTTCTGCAGCTCCAGCGCCCAGCTTCTGTATCCTTTGCCTTTGACTGCTGCCACTTCTGGAGCTGCTGATGATGGCGATGGTTCTGCATACCACTGCATCTCCTCCAAGGACCTTCGCCACGCACTGTGGAGCAGCTTTGGCCCAACTAGCAAGCAGGGAGTGCAACTGAAAACCATGGTAATCCATGCTGAGTCCCACTTGTGTTTAAGCCCACTTCAGATATGTGCTTGGCAAGCCATTGCATTTGGGGTTTTTTTAAGGAAGAACCTGTTAAGTTTACCTTTTTGGTTTTTTATTTAAAAACTACAGATTTAATAATGTTTTAAAAGTATTTACAGAAATATGTAATAGATAATAGATAATAATGAACGAAAAAGTTTATACACCTGGTTATTAATTACTACACTCTGCTACTCTTTGAAAGGCATTATGTTATGTATTTTCTATCTAGATCGACTCGGCTGCAAATGCACATCTATATTTTAAATGTTTTATAGGTTTGGAATGAAATTATAATACCTTCCCTGGGTATAAATTATATATTTTGTATAAATAACGACTGATAGTGTCATAAAATTCAAAGAATTCTTCAAAATTCACGCTAGATAATGAAATGTGAAAAAAAAATTTCACTTCCACTGTGCAGCTGCGCCTAGATTCAACGCCCCAGTCCCCAGGATTGAGATGCAGGAATTCCCCGCCTGCGCCTCCCCCGTGCCAGACTTAGCAGTACAAGTAGATTGTTAAGCTTACTTGAGTCTGGGACAAGCAGATGCACTCGGCTGGGCATGATTTGGATGTTTCGGTTTGTTGCGAGTTCCACAGGCAGACGACAACGGAGAGCGCAATTATGAGCAGCAGCCAGGAATTGCACATTTCACGTTGTTGCTGACACGACAGTTTGGCGGCGTAATTGAGCTCGATTCTCTCTTGTCCGGCTGCTGCTCCAGCTCCAGCTCCAGCTCCTGCTCCTGCTCCTGCTCCTGCTCCTGTTCCTGCTCCAGCTCCTGCTGTTGCTCCTCCTCCGTCGTCTCCGTATTTCTTCTTGTCGGGGTCCTTCCGATGCTCCTCTCCGACTCCTTCTGGTGACTCTATCCGCGCTCCGCTCCTCTGCAGCAGGCCAAGTGTATGCTTCACCTTCTTCGCCTGCGTCCTTCGTCCTTCGCCCCTGTTGCGTGCTTCCTTGCACTTTTTCTTCTGGCTCGTCCCTGGCCGCTCTTCGCCCTGCTTCTTCGCCGGGTACTTTTCTTAGTTATTTATGTTTTTATATTGCGTTATTTCATTTGAACTTTCCCTCGCCTTCTCCTCTCGTTTCTTTTATTATATATTCTTAAGCTTAATCATATTTATTTACGCTTCTTCTTCTTCCAGCTCCTGTTGCTACGCCTCGTGGGGGCGTGGCATGCCGATATCTGCAGAGAAGGAATAGAAAAGCACAAGGACAAAGTGTAAGTAGGGGGAACTAGGCAAAAACTAATGGAAGGACCCATCAAAAATAATTGTTTTAAAACAATTTTCTATGTAACATTAAAAGTATCTTATTTATAGGAAGAGAACATACATAGTTAAATAATTATTAGGTTCCATGTTCTTTTTATAAATAGTATTTATCATGTTTTATGTAATCGATAAGTCACAATAAAGTCATCAAAGTTTTTTTGTATTGCCAGTTATATTGAAAAAAAAAAAGCATGAACGATCCTGGATTATGGCAAAGTATACACAATGAAAATGAAATCGATTCTACAATCGATTTTTTCAATTATGCGTAACATCGATATACATTTTCAGAATCGATTAAATCGAAAAAGTTCTACTCGTATGTGAACTTATAGAAAAGTGAACTATTTTTCATGTTCTATTTAATTATAGTAAAATAGAGGCTATCTTTTTTTATAAATATTGCATTTTCGATGCCATATAAAAGTGAAGAGCACCAAAAAGCTATAATTTAAATACAAATATCGACAAATAAAATATCAAGAACTATAAAATTAAATGTCAATGATAAATATGTTTACATATATAATTTGAATTATTTCATTTTTCGATTTTAATCGATTTATTTTTCGATTTGTACAGAATAAGTCTATTCTTTCAAAATCGATTAATTTCCAGCTTTAATTCTAAGCTTGATATATTCAGAATTATGCTGAGGTGTAAATCATAAATTGAAATCTGAAAGATATCCTTTCTTCGTTCCTTTAAAATCTGTGATACATATAGCTTTTAATCTGTAAAGTCCCTTGCTTTCTGTGGGCTCTTTATATTTTATTATTTCGGTTGCCTGGCCCGAGGTTTCACTGTGGCCACCAGGCCGCATGTGGCATTTAATTTCACTTCTCTATTGGTCGTCCTGTGGCTGGCAGCCGACAGCCGGCAGCCGGCAGCCGGCAGGCAGCTCAGCCTTTCCGGCCTTGTGTTCGCTCAAAGCCTTCGACACATCCAACATTTATGCCCGGATTAGAAGCCGGAGAAGTCCAAACTGGACGGAGGAGAAGCAGCAGCGGCGGAGGTGACAGGACAAGTGGCAGGACAAATGCCAGATGTGACAGGCTCGGCTTCAGCCCCGGGCCCCGGGACCTGAGATGCAGATGCAGATGGCCGAGACAAGGCATTGAGCCCCGCTCCGCAGCCCTCTTCAAATACATAGCTGCTGCTGCTGCTGGCTCCTCTGCTGCTTGTTAATCATTTATAATAAATAATGCCCAGGTAGGAGTTAAGTTGCTGCAGCATCAGCCTCGGACTCGGATTCGGCCTCTGCCTCGGCATCGGCAAGGATGAACAAAGCCAAAGCAATATAATAACTGAAATTACTCCAAAGAGAATTTTCAATGAGGCAATGTCGCTTGCACTTGCCACTGCCACTTGGAGATGATGCACGGCGACAGGCGTGGAGTTGGGGATGCAGCAGCTCCTGCTCCTGCCTTGGGGGAGGTGAGGCAGCGGCTGACACAGCTTGTTTGAAATGTTTAAATGCACAAATCAAATATGCAAGCAGTCCAAACTCCGGACTGGCCGGGCAGCGCAGCGCAGCACAGCACCTGATGTTAGAGGAGTTAACCCTGCTTAACCCCCGTTGGCCGCCGCCCGTCCGTCCGGCCATGGCCAAATCCTTGCAGCAGCTTCGGCTTTTAATTGGACACTGAGGATGGCAAAAAGGAGCTGCCGGCAGCCAGCAGGCGGCAGCAGGACATCTGAAGAGTTGAGCCCGGGCAGCATCAGCATCAGCACAATAATAAATAAGCGCAGGCATAAATGCGTGACATTATAATTGGAAACCAACAAAGCAGGGGGCGGTCAAAGGTGGGCATGGGCATGGGCGTGGGCAAGGTGACCTGGGAAACCGGAATCCTGCGAACCTGGCAGCTAATGCAATTCACAAATGCATTTGTTTGACGGGGCCCGGGCAAAAGTTGAAGCGAAGCTGAGAAAGGGGCTGAAATTTTGGCAAATATCCTTTAAAATAAGGGCGTTGGGCGGCAGTACACTTGGAAAACATGTGCAGGATAGAGTTCCTCGCAACTAATTGCAAAAAGTTTTTGTGCATCAACTCGAAATATGAAGTTGCCTGTTTTAAATTAAACTTGAAATGCATCAAACACAAGTGGTATGCCTCAGGGACGCACAACCAGGTGATTCCTGGATCTCATTTGGCAGGAAATTAGGACATTCTTGTTCAGATTTGGTTCAATGAAGTCCCAACTCAAAGTGAGAATGGAATGTATGTAATAATAGTGACAATGTGGCAACAAAACAAAGGCATTGGGAACGAGGTATTATTATGCATATCGATATTTAGCAAAAGCGATAAGTTAGTTTCGATACCATCAGAAGACACTTGATCTTGGCGTTTTGCAATTGAAGCTTTCTTAACGAAATGTTTTCCAAATTAGGTTAGTAAATCTTTGAATATTATTTGGATTCTCTGTTTTTCCAAGTGCTGGAAAGGTGGCAGACAACGGCAGTTGTGTCAGTTGGATAGGAACTCGCGACTCTCTGTCTCTCTGGCGCTTTGTCTGGATCTGTTCCCGTCCCCAGTCCCCAGTCCCTTGCAATCGCATTACTTTACGTTGCCTTCATCTAAAAGGATAAAAGCAAAATAACAAATGCCAGCACAAACTCAAATAATGCACAGACAATTGTGTAAGCAACAGCAACAAGGACGAATGCCAACTCCTGCCGGGACGCGACGGGACCGGGACGCGACAGGACAGGACTGCATTGGCTGCACATGTGTGTGGAATCAGGACAATGGCAAAAGGAATCGCAAATGTGGCAGAAGGAGCTCAGCACGAAGATGAGAGCCGGAGCCGGAGCCAGAGCCAGAGCCAGAGCCGGATCCGGAGCCTGCGATGTGGCTTAGCATCCACTTGGCACAGGAACCAAGCCGGGCATCAATGCCTTTAAATAAACATGTGGAATATGCGGCCTTCAGCCAGACCCAGACTCTCCACTACGTCCAGGATGACGACATCCACTGCCATTCGCAGCTAATCAATCAATTTTATTAAGCATTTTATTGAATTTACACGGCGAGGAGTCGAGGAAGGACCTGGCAACGACCAGACAACACAAACTGGACCATGATGCAGTGGTTCAGGGGTTTGCGGTATAACTGCACTTAAAGAAATGTTTATAATTGAAAGAATTCAATTTGCAAAATGAATATTCAGAACTAAAAGAACTCAATTTGCAAAATAACTGATTTTCTTGGAAGCTGTACCTAAACATGACACCCCAGACAAGCACTTAACATCCAATAATTTTGGAAACTCCACCTTTAACAATTTAAAATATGTATTCCTAGTTAGTATAAATGCTTAAAATAATTAAAAGAAATATCTTTCGGTGTATACACAGGGCTGGGCATCAGGAGTGCCGCAGAGATGGGCCTAGGAATGGTCCCATCCCGGTCTCGGGACACGTCTGCCTGCTTTGACTCATGTGCAATCCTTTAAGCTCTTATTAGAGCCAATTAAGAGGATATGTTTGTTTCTCAGCCATCGCTCAGAGAGCGAAGGGAGCTGGGGGGAATTGTAAAAAAAGAGAAACGAAAAAAAAAAAATAGAATAGAACTGGACAAGCGAAAAGGACAAATTGAGAAAAAATAGGTTCAGCAGGCAAAGGACTTTGGAACAGAACGGCAGAGAATGGACAAAAAAGCAACTGCAAAAAGGTGCGACCCAGAGCTGCCAAAGGATCTAGGGGCTACGACATCCACCAGGTGAGGGAAAGGAAATGGAATGAGAGCAAACTAGAAGCAAAGCCCCAATACAAATTTAATAGTAAAGTAACTATGGCCAAAGTTCTGCCTAAAAATAATCAAAGCCCTTGACTCTTTTCAATTCATATTTAAATTGTAGACCAAGTCCTTTAAATAACAGAGAGCATTCCGATTTGTTTAGAAACTAGCTCGAATTGGTCATATTTTGTTTAATAATATTGTAGAAAATTAGTGAAACTATAAAAGCGATGGATGGTTGTGCGATTAGTGGACAGGACACGGCACTCGCAGGATGCAGGTGATTGAAAATCAAAAATCAAAAGCGAAAGCGAAAGCAGCGGCAAATTGAAATCAAAACGAAAGCAATCAGTGCAGTTGACCAATGAATGGACACATGGCCAAATAAATAAACCAAAAGATGAAAATCGAAAATCAAAAAAATCGAAAATAAATAAATAAAATTTCAATTTACACTCTTCTTAAATTTACTGCCTTATTCCCTTGCAGTTCCCAAAAACGTAAAACCTGCAACAAATTGTATATATTTAAGGCAAAACAATAACAATATTCAGACGCTTAACCTAATAAACCAGCCCTTTTGTGCAACGTTTAGCTTATCGTCTGTCATAGATTGTAATATTCAAAAGCCACAATTTTAATTACGCATGTTGCCTTTCCGGTTTCCTTCACTTTTTTTGTTTCATTTCCAGGCTGTTGAATATTCGAAGGACTTGAAAGACTCGAAGGATTTCGAAGGGAAATTCATTTTAAAGCCAATTTAATTATTAGTTTGCGGTAACCAAACTTGAAC